AGTTAAGGAAGTAATTACAGAATCTTTCTGAAATAAATGTGTTGAATTCCAAGCAAACTTGGTGGTGTGGTGGTTAAGTGTTTGCTATTAAGCCAGTAGTCAAGCTTACAAGTGGCTTGATCAGATAAAAGACTTAGCAATCTGCTCCCACCAAGAGTCCAGTTGAGAAACCCCCTTGTGCAGTCCTGTTCCATCCTAGAGTTAGTTATGCTGATTCAGATTAGACTCAACAGCAATGACATGCACAACAATTAAGGAGTCAAGGGGCCATAGGAAAACATAAGGAGGGGAAATCATTGAATAAGAGTCAAAGGTTCACTTCCTCTGGTCCATTTCTCTCAAAACTCTGAGGATGTTTAATTTAATTTAATTTAAAAATGTAAATGCATTTCAGGATGATCAATGACCAATTTTGGCAGACACAAATATTGATATTAGACTGATCTCATGCTTGGACTCAGAGCATAAAATTGGTTCCTCTCACAAAGAAATAATTAGCCAAGGAGAGCTACCTTCAATATTCTGAGTTTCTAATGGGGTGGGGGTGGGGGGCAAATAAAACCCCCAAACCAGTACTAATTGGTTGAAGGAGGATTAAATTTCTTTGCCTTGTGTAAATTGTGCAAGATAGAATTTTTCCATGTTATTTTTTTAGGGATGCTAATACATTATTTTGCTTTTTAAAATTTGAGTGAAAGTTTTCACATCAGCTTCTCATTCAATATCCAGAGACATTTTTCTTTATAACATTAATCACCATTGAGTAATATAATTAGTCAGCTGGGATATCTAATTGTATAGTGCCTTTCCCTTCAATCAATTTCTCTCTTCACTGATTTTTGCTCTCCTCATGCAGAATGTCAATGGACTTCTGTTTCCACCACTGTAAGCCTAGCTCATTACCTTCAAGCTAATTTGGACTCATGGCAACACCATGCATGACAGAGTAGAATTGCTCCATAGGTTTCCTTGGCTGTAACAGTATGTAAGCAGATCCACACGTCTTTTCTTTCTTGCACTGTTGGATGGGTTTGTGACACTAAACTTTAATAGCTGAATGGAAATTGTGCCACCCACAATATTTCCAGCCATGTAACAAGAGACAATCTCACTGGATGACATCTAAGGTGATTATTGTTCTAAGAACTTTGGTTGCAGGAGATGTACACATAGCTACAGGGTCTCCTTTAATACCAACTCCACCTTCCAAAAAATACAGTATCATTCCATTCTCTCAGCTCAATGCCCCCTCCAGAGAAAATACTTTGAACATCTAGAACAAAACTTATTGGACTTATGAGACTTTAGGGGAAATTAAAGAGCTAATCTATCCTTCAGAAGGCTATGCTAATCTCTGATATTGATACTGATCCAGAGTCTTTGAGTAAACATCAACTGACTTAAGAAAAGAATAAAATGGCATTTTAGAGTAATTGTTGCTAGGTCTTATTAAAGAAAAAAATCATTAAAGGCTTTATGTGGAGAATAAGTCAAAAAGGACAGTAAGAATTTCCATTATTTGAGTTCATCCAGCTAATCCAAGTACATGATTACATATCTCTCAGGTATATTTCTTTGTGATAATAAGCATAGTACCCTATCAGAAACCAAAGCAGACAATGTTGGCAACTGAAAATGGAATCTCTACAAGGATTCTGAAGCTCTCTGTGACATACCTCGGGGATATTACGGGGAGGGACATCAGGCTCTGGACAGGAAGACCCTTGATGAGATGGATTTATTCAGTCACTGGAGTAATGGGGGTAGGTGTGTCAAAGACAATAGGGTTGGCACAGGATAGAGCAGGGTTCAGAGCTGCTGTACATAGAGTCACTAAGAATCACAGGCAACTTTATGGCACATAACTACAATGACAATAACATTTTAGAAACACACTATGCAGCCAGATTAGACTTTCTCCACTCTTGTTAAATACTCAGGGAAACAAACAAAGCATTAAAAATGATAGGAGGTACTTCTCAGAAGTTAAAAAAAATTCTAGAGCCCATGTACAAGCAAGCTCTTTCTACTCAGAAATATTAAATAGGCTCACAAATTTTAACCAAAGTAGATCTCAGAATAATATTAATTTCATCATTAGTTCTTGACCAAGCAAAGTGTGCCTTGTCTAAATCATCTCATATAATCTTAACAATCTTTGGAAATAAAGACTTCAATTACTTCCACGATGTAGGAGGAGATTTTGGCTTGGGAAGTACAAATAACTAATTTAGCTAAAAATGACAAAATTTGGCCAAGCGACAGAACCATAACTAAGCCAATGTTCCTAATGCCATGTTACATTGTCTCCTAATATTGTCCATATGACTACCCAGCTGATAAGGAATAAAGAATTTGTAGAAGGCTGCCAAGTAGCTTCATTAAAGTAGCAAAAAGCACCAACTAGTCATAAAAGGGCTGGATAACAGACAGAGAGCCACAGCAGTTTGTGGTCATTTTCTGTAAGGACAAACAACTGACTGTAGGTGCCTCCTGAGTCTGGGCTGACATCGGTGTTACAGAGCTCACTGCAACAAAGAACTTCATCATGATGGCCCCCAGTGACCGTGGATGACAGTCGGTGAAGAGGCAGTGAATTGCACAATGTCTTTGAGTTTAAAACCGTATCTGATGGAGTGATATGTGGCATATCCTGATTTTCCTTATGGGATCTCTGGCGGCATGGCCCCCAGGGAGCTGTGTCACTAACCTCTCTGGTGGTTTGAATCTCCCAGCAGCTCCAAGGGAGAAAGATGGGTAGTCTCCTCCCATGTGATCTGAAGCCTCAGAAATCACTGGAGGGTGAGGTACAAGTTGGTTCCAATTCAAAAGCAACGATAATTGAGTAAGTGTTTCCTAAAGAGGTAAGTTTTTTTTTTTTAAAGAGGTAAGCTTTTGTTTATTAGACATTATGTCATGGGCAAATGCTCTTCCCAGAGTGATTCCAGATCAATGGAACATTACTGGGTCCATTGTTAGGAAGAAATACGAGGACTCTGGATATGCTGGATGCAACTCTAGCTCAGATGCTAGTGACTGAATAAGAAGAATTGGTATTGTCATGTCTAAAGATAAGAGAGTTAGTGTTACTGTCTAAAGACAAGAGAATTAGATCCAGGGATAAGTTGTGAGTGTGTGTGCATCTGTATGTACCATAGAGTTGGCACTGACTTATACTGACCATCAGTAGGTTTTCAGAGGCAGTTAATCACATGAGAGGAGATTGCCTATCGTTGTCTCATGGAGTAGCTGGTGCCTCGAACCACGTGCCTTTGGGATTGCAGGGAAGCTTCTTGCCAGTAGGCCACAAAAGCTCTCATTGATAAGAGAGGTTAGCAAATGATCTTAATTTTTTTTATTTTTAAATTTTATTCATTTTCTTTATTTCCCCCCAGCTCTATCATTCTGTGGCTCTACAGTAATGCAATGTGTGTTTAGGCTGCCACTGGGGAGAAAAATGAAATGAAACCTAAAATATAAAAACCAATATTGAATCCTTCAAAGACCTAATCTTGAAGCATTTCCTGATCTTTGCTGTAGACCCCAGGGCTGGAAACAGTTTCAGCATTGTCAGGTTATTGGGAGAAACCAATGAGAACTGAAACTTCTGCAATATACTTGGAACCTTGGGGATCTGCAGGGCTATATATAACTTCTAGTACCCAGTTCTCGAGATTTCTTTTTTTAAAAAGGTACATAAATACTAAAAGCCAAAATATGTATCTATAGCGGATTTGCAAAGAAAAAAAATTAAATACGGTTTCCCTCATCAATAAATGTTAAACAAAGAGATTCAAATAATGTAGAAGGTTAGCAAAGATATACTTTAGATTCTAAAAAAAAAAATTTTTGGTTCATTCTTCACATTTCTCTAAAAGCCACTGCCAGTGAGTCCGTTCTGAGGAAGATGACCCTCTATTGAGTTTCTGAGACTGTAACTTTTAATGGGAGGAGACTCTCTTTGTTCTCCCTCAGAGAAGCTGGTGGGTTTGAACTGTTGAACTTTAAGTTAGGAACCCAGCATGCACTGCCCTGTGCCACCAGGGCTCCTTTCACACATTGCTATCAGAGCATAATTAAATGTGCAGATAAAGAAAACTTACAAAATGTCATTAGAATGCTTTAATATTTTTTTTTAGTCATATAGCTATGCTATTAGAATCCAGCAGCTTTATTTTAAAAAATAAGACACCTATTAGTTCATCTAGCATTACTATTCTCTTCATTAGGGTGCTCTGTAGAAAATGTTCCCGTTCGTATCACTAAAAGCCTGTTGTGAATGAGAAGTAAGAAATAGAAAAGGAACTCAAAGGTTCAGAAGTTGGAAATAGCATAGATGAGTCCAGGGACCCTGCAAAGTTTCCCTTAAGCCACTGGGAAATGCAAATGAAGGTAGAAATCTAATATTTAAAAGTATGACACCATTACTTAGGAAACCTTCTAGTGCTTCAAGGAGAAATGTACTAACTTGCACATGTTGTTGTTATTGTTATGTGATGTCGAGTCACCTGTGACTCACAGCAACCCTATGTACAACAGCCCTAAACCCTGCTCTATCTCTTGCCAATCTTATTGCTTCTGACACACCTACCCTCATTACCCCAGGGATGGAATCAATCCATCTGATCAAGGGTCTTCCTCTCCTGTGCTGTCCCTTCACCTTTCCAAGCATGACATCCCTCACCAAGGACTGATCCCACCTTGCAACATGTCCAAACTTGTACATACAGGCCTGAAAGTCACAGGATGAAGAATTTCCCCGCAGACCCCTAATTCAATGATGGCTCTATCCTAATGCATCTTACTAAATTCATATGACTGGGAAAAAGAAAGAATGAATATACTAAGATATGCCCAGCGACTTCACAGAGACTTTTCAAATATCTTTCTGCAGAGGGCTGGCTAAAGAACTGATCATGGCATTCCAAGTGGACTGATGGACATTTTTGCCAAAGAAGACATCTTTGCTAAACACAGAAGGAACAAAAACTGGAACTTACAATGTAGCAGGGCTCACAGTAGGCTTTCTTCTCCACAGCATAGAAGGGCTGCCCCCGGAGCTTGTTGTTACAGATGATGCAGGTGAAACAATCCACATGGAAGACCTGATCCATGGCAGTGCAGCCTGTACCTTCCCCAACGACGTTCTCCCCACAGCGAGCACAGCGGCCTGAAAGCAGAAAAGACGGATGGGTCAGAAGAATCAAGAACTGCTATGAAGCTTCTACAGAAACCAGCTTGGGGAGGCTGCAGATACATGTTATCAGTCACAGTGATCGAACCATCATCATTACTACCACTGACAGGATGGAGGTACATACAAGCTCTGTGATCCGTGATTTCCCCCACTCTCCACCTACAACCTCCCTCCTCCCTCCCCCTCCCTCTCCGACCTTCTGCACACATCTTACATGTAAACCTTCTATTTTTACAATAATGGTCATATGCCATATTTTTCCTTATCCCAGAACTTGGTGGGCAGAAGGAGGGGTTTAAGAAATTCAGAAAGATGCCGTGGGAACCTGAAAAGGTGAGGTAATGATGGACATGGATCAATGGTGATACATTTTACAAAACACAATGTATGGAAATGATTGTATTAAACATAATGTGGATAAATGGAACAAAGGACCTTTTCCAAGAAAATTACAAAACATTACTACAAGAAACAAAAAGAGATCTTGAAAAGTGGAAGAATATCCCTTGCTCATGGATA